AAGAGCAACATTGGCTTTGGTCTTGGAGAAGACCATTTGCCTGCTGTCTCACAAGGAGAAAATGACAGTAGCAGATGTCTAATAGAGGAAAGGGAGATTCTTAAAGGTAGATGAGAAACATGAGGCTCCTAATGAAAAAATGGAAGAAACTGAAGGCCTCATCTGTATTTATCTTATGGGTGGGAAGTTAGCATGAATAACTGATGCTTTCAATCGTAATGCTATTGTCAGTGCATATGAATTTCTCAATGAAATTAAAACGATGACAAAAGTATAAATCTAAAAAACCATATTCAGACATAACGTTCTTTCACCTCTAGGGGATCATGTTCCAATTCTGAAATGGTACTGCAACAGACCTTTTCAATTATTAGCTTGGTCATCTTGTCGTCTGGGCACAAGGAAAGCAGAATAGTAATAAATATTACCTGCTAAGAACATTTGGCAAATATTTTAAAAAATAATTAGGAAACTAAATGAGCAGACATAACAAAGACAAAACCAAATAAACATGGAGCCAATTTTTAGCAGTACTCCTGCAAGGTTATTTTTTCAAAATATCGTACTTTTCTTGATGGAACATGCGTTAAAGTATTGTAGTTTTCATGGATTACGTCAAGTACTTACGATCAGAAATCATGTAAAAAGAGTTTTGCTACCTTTTGAGTAATGTACAATACAAATTGATTTACAAAGTGTCCAAAAGCAATTGTAGGCTGGCATGCAGCTTATTTTATAACATTCAGTACTTATAAACTGTTGTCACATCATTTTCAAAAGAAGAAACATCATTTCTGTATCTTTAAGCACAAAAATTTAATGGATTTATTATCTCCCAAACAAAAAAAAAAAAATTGACCAACGACCTCATTCAACCAAAAAAACATTCTCTTACCAAGTTGTACAGCTTTCATATATTTAGCAGTCCTCCCATAAATGGGTGATATATAATTAGTAATGAGGGAACAGACCCATTTTCCCAATTTTCTACTAGTCACACTATTCCCTTAAAGTGCTAGGAGTATTAAACCAGCTGGCAATTCAAAATGCAGATTCAGGATGCAGGAATAGGATTGGATTACGTAAGAAGCTATGTGACTAAAGTTATATGACTTAAAAACATTAAGGATCTTACTGGAATGTGAACTGCTCCATCAAACTGGTAGAATTGTAATTTATAGTCTGAAAGATTTATCTATGGGCTTTAAAAGAAGTTACTTGTCCACAGTCAAATAAGCTGGTTATCAGAATAAGGATTGGGACCCACCTCTTGATTCTCAGTATCTAACACTCTATTCAAAATGATACAGCCTCCTCAAAGTACTTAAGAAGGGGATCAAAGAACAAACTAGGAAGAAAGCATAATGATACAGTCAATCCCTCTTCTTCTCTTACTTGTTTCATGCCCCAACACCACCAAAAAGCCACATACCTTTCCCCCATTTATTGAAAACTGCCTGACAATATTATACCACAATTAGTAATATTCTATTTTATATTCTAGATACATACACTGTAATATTTTGGGGCTAGATGATAATCAGTGTGCTACAGAGTAGTCTGAATGAAATCCTAAACTAGTCAAAATGTTTGGTCTAACAACTCAAGAGAGGAATACAAAAGTGAACGACAAAAGTTCTCTGTGCAAGTATGTAGTTGGGTGCAAAAAACAGCAGGAAAAATATCTTGATACAAAAGGCAGATGGACAATGAAGTGGGCCCAAAATTTAACAAGAAGAAGGTGGCAAGGCTTTTTTTTTAATTGAGCAGTTATGCAGGCCTCTCAATAATCCCAAACTGTTCCCTAAGATCAAAAACTAACTTTTTTAAACATCAATATTCTTCCAGGGATGTCACATGGAATATAATATCTGAACAATCAAAATTGCAGGAGACTCAAAATAACAATGAGGAGCTGTTTGGAATGCACAAATAAGCTAAATCACATTGCTAATGATGACATGTATGCAAAGCATAAAAGATTATCAACGACATGTATAAATGGAAAAGGTAGTTAAACAAGGAACAACAAATTAACGGATCCAACAATGATTAAGAATATGAAGATATGAGACTGTCACAAATTTTCAGTTCAGTATAACTTGTCCACTTGAACAGAATTTAGAAACAATGACTGAAATAATACTGCCCAACCTTCATAAATGAAGAAGAGAAGGCTCAGAGTGATTGAAGTGACTGGCTGAGCTCACAGATTCTCCACTGCTATGTGGTTTGGTTGTCTAAGGTTACTGGAGAAAATTTTTTCAGAGAATTTGGAGCAAAAGGTAACAAAACAGCAATCTGGTCAACTATACTTTCTTTAAAAAAAAATCTTTAATCAAGTCCATTGTCATAACTAAAGGCAGACATCAGGGTACAATGATTGGGGGGCAGGTCAGTATTATCTTTTATTCTGCCAGACAAATATAAAAATATGCTAGATTTCTTGGTGTGTAAGTTTAACTATAATGCAATATCAGGAAAGGTAAATTCACTATTTGACACAGGTTTTTAGAGTTTCTCTTTTTGTAATCAGTGCAGAAAAACAGTGATACACTAAACAATCAGGCAAATATTTTGGGGCTAGGACACAGCATGCCTGGGGCAAAGGTGGGGAAGTGATTGTAAAGTTGATTATAAAGATGGTTTTTTAATATTCCTCTTAAATGCACATAGTTAAAGGGGCAAAAATACCAAATTTTCCCCAATCCAAATATGTTTTATGATAAACCACAAATATTACAGTGAAGCCACAAAAGTATATTAACATATAAAAGGGACCAACTTTCAAATCCTACCTAGGACAAACAGATTGTCAAGCCTTAGCTTTGTAACTTTCTTTTATGACACTACTTCTACAATGTTGCTCAGTTTAACATTAAAAGCTCACTACTCACCTTTCATTTTAACAAAAATATAACTTAGTTTAACAAAATATAACTTACTTTAAAGAACATGTTTTACTACTGACAATCTTGTTTTAAAACTTTTCAACAGAACCTTTGACAAAAAATTATAAAATTATAACCTCAGAATCTTTAGGGATTAATAACTTTTAGATACTTTAGCAGAGCATCATTCATAATTCTTTCAAAGGGATTCAGGTATCTAAAGAAAAATACAAGAAACAAATATAATAGAAACAATTAAACTACAGAAGAGAGGAAACAGGGGCAGCTGGGTGGCACAGTGGATAGAGAACTGGCCTGGGAGTCAGGAGAACCTGAGTTCAAATCCAGCCTCAGACACATACCATTCACTAGCTGTATGACTCTGGGCAAGTCACTTAACCTCAAGTGTCTCTCCACAAAAAAAAGAAGAGAGGAAACAAACAAACCAAAAAACCCCATCACTACATACTGTTTGTAATGAAATAAATATAAGGTGCCAGAGAGTAAAAAAAGAGGGGGGGGGAGGCAAAATAATTCAATTTTTCCAAAAAACCTTCTGAACTTCAACATTTCTGTTGAGGGTACCACGAATCTCAACAATCACCCAGGTTTCCAACCTCCTCAGAGTCATACTCAATTTATCCCTCTCTCTTCTGCCTCACGGCAATCAATTACCAAGTCCTTTTGATTCTACCTCAATGGTATCTCTCACATTTATCTGCCTCCCTTTCTTTTGCTTGGATGGCCACCACCCTATTTCAGGCTCATCTCTTGCCTTCTAGGTTGCAAACTGACCTTGATGCTTCAAGTCTCTGCCCCAATCATCCACCCTCTACCCAATCACCAAATGGAAATTCCTAAATCATAGATTTAACCACATTATTCTCCTACTCAAGCTGTCTATAGGAAAAAAACACAAACTTCTCTGTTAGGTATTTAAAGTTTTTCACAATTTGAATCAGTTCTGTCTGCTTTTTGCAGACTTAACCACATTGCTCTCCTTCAAACACTCTAGGTTCCAGCCTCTAGCCTACATGTGGCCTTCTTCCACCTCTGTTTCTCATATCATTACATAAACTGCTTGTCTCTCATTCCTAAAATGTGCTCCCCTTTAACCTCCACGAATCCCTAACTCAGTTTAAACATCACTTCCTATATGTGGCCTAACCAGATCCCCTCAACTGCTAATAGTCTCCCTACCAAAAATCACATTGAATATACATTCCCTCAGTCATGTGACCATGGGTAAAGAGATGGGGATGGAAACGACCTTTGAGATTCCTTCCAAATCACATTTTGTGTAATAACCCTCGGTGCCAGAGGCAAAAAGGGAATTGTGGTTGCTCCAGACACCAAGTCCAGCACTATTCCCACTGTTCTATAAAGTTTCTCTAAAAGAAAACTGGCCACACCTGAATAAAAACCATACAGATCTAGGGATGAAGCACTTGTGCAAATTTAGAAGGCATTTGCCAATATCTCCAGTAGGGGCCAAATGATGAAAATGTACTTTATTTTCATTAAACGCTTAAATCCTGGTACAGCTAAACATATTCTTAATTAGACTTTTTTTTAAGTCTATGTAACTATCATGATAAATGGCAGTTTATTTTTAAGTTCTACTTCTACTTGCCTTAATTTCCTCAAATGTATTTAAGTGTTTATTTTTGAATCTGAAGAGAGAAATAGAGATGGAATGATTCTATAAAATATAGATCAATTCCATTTCTTTAAAAAAGCAACCCAGGAAATAAAGGAAGGTATAGCTTCTGGTTTTCAGGCTTGATTTGGAAAGAAACAAAACCACAGACCCATAGTATGGTAGGATGAAAAACAAGCAGCCCAAATCTTTCACATTACAAGTAAGGAAACTGATGCTATGCCACAATTAGATTATGGAGAGAAATAAGGTATTCACTTTTTCAAGTTCAATAAAAACTTTCCCTATGTTATTTTGTAATCATCAATGCAATGCTTCTTCCAGAAGAATGGTGAACTATAAAAAATTTATTTAGTTTAGAATTAATGAGTATCCAATTTAAATCAAGAAAACTTCAAATCAGCTGATTTACACCACTGAAAATAAATGCTTCAAATTATAGACATTTCTATTTCTTTAAACATTTTTTTATTTAGAGATTTTTCTGGTAAGGAGATATACCATAAGAAAGCAATTTCACTGGCAGTGAGGTATGTACATACTCTACCAAAATACACCTCATTTTACCTGCTTTATTTACAAATAAAGAAAGTATCAATGCATATCCTTGGTCTAACTACAGTATTAGCCATCCTATATGAATAAAATGAAATGGTACTTGAATACAAAAACTGTTATTTGCAAAGAAATCTGATTTACTGGATAAAAATTAGATCACTTTTGGTGACACTGTAAATAAACATTCACAATTTATCATGACCAAGACACCTGCACCATATTTTCTATCCTCACAGCACATTTATTTCAGCAATTCCATTACGGCGGTCCTTAGCATGAGCATAGTGTTACACAATTTTTGTACATATAATTACATCCAAAACAAGTTCTAAAATTTAAGTTGTAAACATTCTCTTCATATGTAGAAACATTTCAATTGATGTATTAAATTTTGCTGAAATGATCAAATTTGGGACAAATTATAAATGAAGAAAGCTATTCTAAATGGTGTAGTGAGCATCATTTATTATTAGTAGTACATTTCTACAGTGTTAAATAAAGTAGTAAAGAGGCAAAACCATCTTGTAAGCAAGTCAAATTTTAAGTAAAACATCAAAAAAGAAACAAGTCTGTTAACAAAAGGATGTCTTGCAATAAAGAGTTAGATTTCAATCTATTATGATACAAAAATGTAAAGGGTAAATAGCATCTTTGTTGACAAAGTAGGAGGTAGCATGGATGCACCACTTTATTGTCTGATAAATGCAACTGGAGTAAAGAATATTTCCTTACCACAAATAATTTCCAGTACTATGTACATATTTCTTTTAGAAATATTTGTTTAAACAAATCTCCCTCCACTTTTAGTACAAAAAAAAAACCTTTTCATGTGATTTTTTAAAAAACACTTACACATTTAGATAGAATAGTACTCATTGCCCTATTTGAGTGAACAGTCTCTTGAACTATGAAGTACATGATATTTAATGCCCTAAATTGAATGAATTTAGTTAGCAGTTCCTGGTATTGTACAAAACACTACATACATACAAACAAAATATAATATCTTATTTTACTATGCAAGTCTCTTTTTGGGGGAAAAACAGAGCCTTGATTCTGGTAACACTGCAGAGAACATAATTTTTCAACAAAGTTTGTCTCTAAGTACCCATGTGCAACAAATTGATAAATGGCTGCTTATGTGTAATGATCTTGTTATTGATATTGGACACAGTTAGTTAACTGACAAAAACTTAGTAAACCTTAAAAGCACATCTTCCACCCTATATAAAATATAAAGACTACTTACTGTAACTGCTTTAAAGTACTCAATTTGCTCTGATGTCACTGTAATTCACTTTCCCCGTTTTCCTGCTTTAGGATTTATAAACAGATAATTTAATGTAGCAACTTTAAAAAAAATGACAAAGTATTTCAAATTTACATCCAATTCAAATTTGTAATTCAAAAGGTTTCCTTGTTCTATGATGCTGCTTCTGCCATCAATAAAGAAAATGAAGTTTCAGTAATAGAAGCAGGCTTTTTAAGTAGTGATGTGACTTCTACCATGCCTGCTCCAGTCCGTGGAAGATTAGCATTCACAATATGTCGCTGTAAGTGCTTGATCCAGTCTTCCTGAACAGACAACGGTCCTCGAAAGACCAGGCCACAAAACCTGTATGTACAAGATATTCAAAACAGTCTCATCACCAATATCAATTTGCCTTCAGTTAAGGTCAGTTGTAATCAAACCAAAGAATATAATTAAACAGAACAGTACTAAGAGAACCTTAACCCAAACGGTTTCTAAAGTTCCAGAATGCAGAAGTTAGCTAAAAAAATTTTAAACGCATGAAGGAAATAACAGAGATGTACTATGTATACAAGGATGAAAAATGTACACAAGTCGTTCTTCCCAACCCCCATCCTGGGAAATTATAATGTAATAGGCAAGATATGACAAATAAACAAATATTATATGAAGTAGCATGGGATGGAGCAAAAGAAAGATTTAAAATGCACGAGGACAATACAAGTGAGGCATTACTTTTGTATTGGGTATGAGAGAAGGCTTTATAACTATTTTAAGTCTAAATTTTAGCATATCAAACTTCTCAAAAACAAATGAACCATACATATGAAAGTTGAATGACCACTCTGAACTGTGCCTGAAAGGATGTGGGGGCAGAACCACAATACATGCCCAATGAAATAGGATTCCAACATCCCATTCTCAAGAGTTCTTGCCTTCCATCATTGTCGGGAGGCAGGACATAGGAAAGGGTATTCAAGAAAATCTGGGGGGATAAAAATAAGTTTCCATTATCTTCCATTAGATGATGGAATACAGTCTTAAAAATGTAAAAAATAGTTCTAACAACACTCTAAGTGACCGTTTCCCAGGGCTAGACCATAACACAAAATGTATACAACTTATATCTTCAGTGCATTCTATTTCAGAAATATTATGGGTTAAGTAAGGATTTAGGAACCAGTCTAGGAACCCACCTTCCATTTGCAATATCACACTTGTGGGCAAGTATGATCGGAGATCAAATTATCCAAGTTACTGACAAACTTTAAAAAACAAGATTATTTTCTTTCTTGCTTTTCTTTTTCTTTTCAAGTCAGAAACTTTGTATACTGTCTTTATTAACTGACTACTTTCTTTCAAGTGGATTCTTTTTTTCCTTCAAAATCATTTATCTTTGTTTAAAAAAAAATTTTTAACTGATGGAGCAAAGCAAAAGCACACCTGCATCGCAGAATGTAAATGTCATCAGCACCATGAGGTAACGGCAGTACTTTTTTCTTACTTCCAGATCTTGATCTTGACTTCTTTTGCTTACTATCTATGGCTAAAAAAAGGAGAGAAAAAAGACTCAATACTCCATATATTTAAGAAGCAAATATTATTAAAGTTCATTCTATATGTAATAATAAAAGGCCTGTATTTATTTTCTCCTTCTACAAAAAGCCAAACCACATTACTGAGTCTACATTAACATGTCAAATAACTAAAAAAAAAACTTGTAGTATTGCATTTTTCAGACATGTCCACGTGATTATTCATGCCAGCAATTTACTGTATAAGAAGTTATATAATAAAAAATCTTTAGAATAACTATTATCAGTGAGTCATTTATTTAGCCTATTATCATAGTTAAAATTGATCTTCTTATGACTGTTTATCTATGATCCTAGTGGCCAATTCTGCTTTCTTCTTTCTAAGAAAAATTACCATTGGACAATACCATTAAGACTGAATTGGATTACTATTACATTCACTACATCTTACAATTCTCTATAGAATTAAAGAAAATTTTAAACTATAAAGAAAAAAGAGTAATTAATTTGAATTCCATACTATAATTATAGTTTAGTTGTTTAAACTCAGTACACTAATTCTACATGAGGGCAGGAAGAAGGGAAAAGGAGGTAGCAGCAGTTTACTTTCCTTTGCAGTTTTTAAAGACAAAAATAAAGGTTACAAAATACAACTTAATTTTATTAAGGAATCAAGATTTAATGTGCCGGGGAGAGAAGAAGGAAGAAAAAGAAGAGGAGTTACTTCATAATTTGAAATTTTTCCCTAATAGAGTGCCAAAAGGCTAATAAAAAAATAATGAAAAGCACAATATGGGAAGAAAGATAAATAAAACCCATGTTACTGGTCTTTCAATATAATCTGACTGGTCATTCCAACTCAATTCCTTTAAAGCAAAAGCCACAATACAGAGTAAATAACTGGGGAGAAGACCCCACTCCCACTCCCCTCACAGCTTTTCTTCAGTCACCATACCAGTTAAGAGAAGCAGGGGTGGGGGAGATGTGAAATCAATCACAACAGGGAACTGATTTGGACTTCATAAAGTCACCAAAGATAAAACTATCAACTGTCAACTACCATACTAACAGAAAATATAACTTAGTTAAATGAAAAACTACCACTGATAAATTTCATGTTAGTCATTGCCTTCAACCTATCACCTATTCAATTTCTTATTTCTCCTCTGAAGGTTATTTAAATAAAGAAATACAAAAATTCAATATAGTATTCGAGAATTGAATCAAAACTAAACAACTAAAACCTAGGTTATAGAAACTCAGATGACAAAATACTGATTAAATATGTAGGCACAAAGCTCAGTGATGTTCTTCTGATAGCATTTTTTGACCAGCAAATTAGATTGCTGATTAATAAATAGGTTATTAGTAAACTAGCATTACTTGTTACTGTCAGACTTAGCACAGCAGTTCCCTATGAGTCAGGGCAGTGAGGGTTGACAGCAGAGGACGATAGGCATTTATTTATTTATTAAGCACCTACTACGTGCAAGGTCCTGGGGATATAAATACAAAAAATGGAGGGAGGAGAATCCTCATTCCCAAGGAGCCTATATTCTATTAGCACAGATGGCATGCTTATCAAATTTACAGATGCCACAAAGCTGAGAAGGAAAGCTAACCATCTGTATGACAAAATCAATATCTCAAAATATCCTGACAAGTTAATCAAGTAAGATGAAAATGGATAGGGAGAAATGTAAATCTTATATTTGGTTTCTAAATGAAATCAGATGTATGAAAAGGAGTTTTAGTGGCCTTCAAGTTCAATGAGTCCAGATTGTGATATGGGAGGAAAAAAAAAAGTTAATGAGATTTCGGACTGCATTAAGAAGCCACAGTTTCTAGGAATAAAAAGAGACAGTCTTGCTGTATGCTGATGTCAGACCACATTGGCAATATTATATTCATTTTGGGGCTCCTCAATTTAGGAAGGCCACTGCTAAAGGGGAGAGCACTGAAAGTCAATCAGGGAGTGTTTAACCAAGAAGAAAAGCCTGAAGTGGATGGATGGGAGTGCTACAAGACAGCTGTGTTTAAATTTCTGAAGTGCTGTCATGAGAAAAAAAATTAGAGTTATTCTCTTTGGCCCTACTGAGCAGAACCAGGAAAAAGTAGTCTAAGTTCAGAGGATGACAGATGTAAGAAATCTTGGATATCATAACTTATCACATAATTTTAAACATGGAAAAACTGAGGCCCAGACAGGTGAAGTGATTGAGGCTGGATTTGAACCCAGGTTTTCCTGATTCTAGGTCCAGCATTCTGTTACCCATACCAGTGTTGTCATATTTAAACAGAAAACATCCCAGGCTGCATAATAACTTAGAAAACCACAAATTAACATTTTTATGTTGTATTTTTATTTACTTTGTTAAATATTTCCTAATTATATCTGTGGAATGTGACACCTCTGCTCGCCACCACTCTCAGGTGCAAAGAATCAAATTTAGGCTTGATGGTAAGGGAAATTTCTGGACAAATACCAGTGTTCAAAAGCAGGATGGAGGTGGAAGGTTCCCCTTCCATGGAGATCTTCAAGCAGTAGCCAGGTGACCTTTATTACAATAAAACTATAGAAGGGACTCTCTTGTGTACAAGGTGTTCTCGAGAGCCATCAAATTTCTAGTGTTTCATCCATATGAAGAGGAAGATCTTTGTAATAAGTAATATTCATAATAATTAATCTTGGAATTAATGAGAAACTTGGTGTGTTTGCCAAGTGCTTTACACACATAATCATTTGAGCTTCTCAACAAACCTAGGAGGTAGTTCTTACTTGCAGGTTTTTATCCCTATTTTACAGATGAACTAAGGATTAAAGAGGTTAAGTGACTGGCCTATGGCAGAAGACTTGTTAGTAAGGGCCCATACAGGCCTCCTCAGCCTTAAGACACATTCCTCTCCCTTGGTGCACTCAAAAGTTCAGTCACCTTAAACTCAGCAATCCTCCAATTTCTACTTACTCACACGGGCCATCCCCCATATTTGAAATATATTCCTTCCCAATCTCTTCCCTTTAAGATTTAGTTTAAATTTTGTCTCCTCCAGGAAATCTTTCCTGAAGGATTCAGTGTTTCAATTTTATTGATGCCCAGTATTCAACACGGTGTTTTGAACATTTCAGACACTGTTTGTGGTCAGTGACCAAAAGAAAAGGCTTTATATACTACACCAAAACATTTATTGCAACATGCTTTGGGGTAGTAAAGACCTGGAAAGAAAGCAGATGCTAATCAACTGGGTAATGGCTAAATGGGAGTAAATAATCTGAACCTAACAGAATGTTACAGTAGAGAAGGAACCAAGATGGTGGATTAGGGACAGCCATCCAGATGAACTCTCCCAATATCCCCCCTCCGAACAACTTTAAGATAACGCCACAAACCACATACTGGAGTGGCAGGGCCAACAAAAGGCTGGAATGAGACATTTTTCCAGCCTAAGAAACATTTAAGAAGTGAGCAGGAAAAGTCTGTAACACTGGGGCAGAAACCTGTCTGGAGCCCCCCCACACATGACAATAGCAGCCCTTGTAGCAGCTTCAGGAGTTCTCAGCCCAGAGATGGGAAAGGGATCAGATCAATGGTCAAAAAGAGAGTACGGGGACCCTCTTCTGGCACTAGATATAGCTGGTGTTGACTGATAACTCTGTTGCCCCCACACAGTTCTGGATTGCAATTCCAAAGAGAAGCATGGCTAGTCCCTGATCCCAGTTCCAAGGCCAAGAGGAATGCTAGCACTTGCAGCTTCAGGGGAGCAAGGGCCCTTCCTTGGTAAAGACCAGATAAGCAATGACCATATCTCTCCCTAGATCACACCACCCTGAAAGCCCTAAAAACTTGAAAACCTCCTCAGAACTAGATTTTAATACAGCAACATGAAAAAGATTGAAGCTTAGAACAGTACCTCCCCATTCTTAGGTGAGCAGAGCCCAACTTTAATGTAAAGTTAAAAGTCAACAAAATAGACTGGAAAAATGAGGGAGGGAAGGAAGGAAGGAAGGAAGGAAGGAAGGAAGGAAGGAAGGAAGGAAGGAAGGAAGGAAGGAAGGAAGGAAGGAAGGAAGGAAGGAAGGAAGGAAGGAAGGAAGGAAGGAAGGAAGGAAGGAAGGAAGGAAGGAAGGAAGGAAAGAACTTGACCTTAAAAAGCTACTACAGTGGCAAGGAAGACCAAATCACAAACTCAAAAGACAAGAGAAAATAGCTACCCAAAAAGTCTCAAAAAAAGATGTTAACCGGACACAAGTCCTATAAGATTTCCTGAAAGAGTTAAAGAAAGAGCTATAAGTATTAGAAGAAAAATTAGGGAAAGAAATGATAAATGCAAGAAAATTATGAAAAGATAATTAACAGCTTGGTAAAAGAAGCACCAAAAATACTGAAGAAAATATCACCTTAAAAAACAGAATTGGCCAAATAGTAAAGGGGGCACAAAAATTCACTGAAGAAATGAACTCCTTAAAAAGCCGAATTGGTCAAATGGAAAAAGAGGTACAAAAGCTCACTGAAGAAAACAATTCCTTAAAAACTAGAATTGGGCAAGTGGAAGCTAATTACTCCATGAGATATCAAGAAACAATAAAAGAAATTCAGAAAAATGAAAACTAGAAGAAAATGCAGAATATCTCATCAGAAAAACAACTGACCTGGAAAATATGTTGAGGAGAGATAATTTAAGAACTACTGAACAATCTGAATGTCATGATAAAAAAAAGAGCCTAAATACCATATTTCAAGAAATTTTAAAGGAAAACAGCCCCAATATCTTAGATCCAGGGGGTAAAATGAAAGCTGAAAGAATCCACAGATTACTTCCTGAAGAGATACCAAAATGAAAAGTCCCAAGAACATGGGAGCCAAATTCTAGAGCTCTGAGATCAAAGCAGCCAAAAAGAAACAATTCAAATACAAGATTTAGCAGCTTCCACATTAAAGAAGCAGTTCAAATATTATATTCCGGAAGGCAAAAGAGCTAGTATGACAACCAAGAATAATCTACCCAGTGTGAG